GAGGGAGGTGGGGTTTTGTGAGGTGAGGTTTTGGGCTGACCACAATGGTGGGATCTCATCTTGGGCTGCCCCTTCTGGTATCCCCATCAACTGCTACTAGCTTTCTTCTTCTCTGCCACCTCTGCCACCCATTTGGCTCTGATATCCCCTGCTTTGATTACGGTTTTGGGCTTCCTATCTAGGATGTACCTTTCTATTTCCTCAGGAACACCCTCTAAGAACTGCTCCATTTGTATTAGGAAGGACAGATCTTCCGGAGACTTAACATTTGCTCCTGATATCCAGGCATCCCAATTTTTTACAATGTGGTAGGTGTGTTGGGAAAATTCCACGTCTGGGTTCCACCTTAGGGCTCTGAACCGCCGACGGGCATGCTCAGGTGTTAGCCCCATCTTCATTTTGGCCTTTTGTTTAAAAAGTTCATACTCATTCATGTGTTCTTTAGGCATTTCAGCTGCCACCTCTGCTAAGGGTCCACTGAGCTGTGGCCTCAGTTCCACCATATACTGGTCCGTAGGGATGTTTTACTGAAGGCAGGCCCTTTCAAAATTTTCTAAGAAGGCCTCTGTATCATCACTTACCTTGTATGTGGGGAATTTCTTGGAATGGGATGGGGGGGTACCTCGAGGAGGACTGTTAGAGCTACCTGGTTGACCCAGCTTAGCCCTTTCCAGCTCTAAGTGCTTCAGCTCTATCTCTGCTTTTAAGCACTTTGCCTCCATTTCCCAGCGCCTCATCTGTAGGAAGAAATTCCTGTCTTCCGCAATTAGAATTCAGTCTGGGTTAAGGGAATCCCTCCATCTTGGTACCTGGATCTTGGGTTGGGGAGGGCTGACATTCTTTCCGGGGAAATCTCCAGTCCCTCATCCCCTCTCTGCATTTCTTTTATGGAGCTGGATGTCTGGGCTTGATCTGGGTCTGCCTTCTCCGTGGCATGCCGCATTGGGAAGACTGGTTTCTCTAGGGTTTCGGTGCCTGACTGCAACCTCATGCACAGGGCTGCTCTACTCTAGCCCAGCTATTTCGTTGCCACGAAGCTAGGAAAAAAAACTGCTTGTTGGACTCCCTGGCTTTGCAGGTTGAACCCTTTGCATGCCTGTTCCCCCTCAGGCAGCAAAGAAAAGAAAAGAAAGAGAAAAAAAACCTCAATGGCTTTGCAGGCTGCCAAAAGAAAAATACCTGGCCCAAGCTTCTTACAGCATAGCTGCTGCCCTGTCCGCCTTTCCCGGAAGAACAACAAGAGACAGACAAAGGGGGAGTCTTTTTTCAATTTTAAAAAGTTCTAGCCTTCTGGCCCTTTTGGCCAGTGCCCACTCACTTCCTTTTACCTATGCATAACAGTGAGACTTTTTAACCCTTTACAGGTAGAGCAATTAGAGAACAGCTACTAAGAGGGATTTTATAGCTACTGGCTGGCTGGGTGTCCATAAAAGGGAGCTACCCTCCCCCTCCCCCATTTATCACAGCATCCTTTAGTAGGAATGTACTATTAGGTTGATTCCCATATAACTCCTTAGGCTTTGTCTACACTGGAACCTGAATGACAAAACTTTTGTCATTCAAAGGTTTGAAGAAAACACCCCCATGAATGACAAAAGTTTTCGTCACAAAACTCGAGGGTGTGAACAGTGCTTTGTTGGCAGGAGAGCTCTCTCCTGCTGATAAACAGCGACTACACTGTGTGCCTTTTTGTGGCATGTCTCTAGCACCACAGCTGTGTTGCTAAAAGTTGCGTAGTGTAGACATAGCCTTAGTTTATAAATCTCTTGCTTTATATTGGGGGAACATCTATTCCTGCCTATTATTCTACAATAATAATTAAATTCTGCTTAACTTTCCCCCTGCTTAAATCCCATAGAGAGTGCTTCCTGAATTAGGGCATATGAGTATTCCCTGCATTCTTGTGAACAGATGATATGACTACAGACATGCAGTATAAAAAGTTGCACTGAATTGCCTGCATAGGATGGATGAATGACTATTTAGAGATGTGTATCCAGCATCAGTCAAACTCCAATCACCATTGCTCTTCTGACCAGTGATTGCTATAATTTTGTTGCATGTAAATATGTTTTATTAATGTTTATTAAACCTCCACAGACAAAACAATGAAGGGATCAAGTGGGGCAGTTTGGCACCCACACATATTAATGATATAAGTGTTGTGCAGAGAGGTGTAGGGGACATGTGAGTTCCTGTATTGCCTGACAAACTTTACCACTGTGCAGAAATTATTGCTTCAAAATTTTTGCAGTTCAACACACATGGAGCTTATGATGCAAAGTAGTACTAATAAACACATTACATTCTAATAAATACATTATATTGTATGTGAAACAGAGCCCATGTGAACAAAAAATCATTTTCAGCATGTTGTACACAGTATAACTAAACCACATGTAGGGTATATGTGGTTTACATAATAGCAAATTGTGCCTATGTACTAATGAGAAAAGTTAAGTGTTAGTATTACACAGCCACAATTTCCTATTATGTACTAATGAGAAATGTTAAATGTATCAATATGACTCAGGGTTTGACACACACAATAAAGAGTGCATGATGCCAAACAGCCAGTTATCTCAGTGCATTATTTCTTGAAGGCTTACACATGGGTAAGGTCACCATACATTTTTAATGGGAATGTGATGCTGTTTTAAAGATAACAGAATGCTATGTTAGATCTCCATGCTGTGGGATGTTCAACCAGGTTCACTGAAGTAAAGTTCATTAATGAGGATTTAAAGACACAGTGGGACCTAATTAGCAGTAATTCGTGATTATATCAAACTCACTCACACAGAACATCACACCGAAAAACTATTGTTGATGACTGGGTCTAAATACCAGATACAGGATGTGTATCTCATTGAATATGTTGTGGTAGCACCTGTTCTGTATTTGAATGATGATAATAACAACACACAATGCTGTGTACTGTTGTAGTGCTTTGCCAGCAACTGTCATTGTCACTATGGTTCTTATCCAGTATGCATGAAATTACAATTATGTACATAGACAGGCCATAACATTGAGCTTTCAAAGACAAAGTCATGGAAGAGGATAACAAAGGACCCAAGGTTTACAGGCTTGTGAAGAGCTCACTTAAGAGTCCAGCGTAAGCCCCAGTGGTGAATCCTGATGACCTGAATCACTTGTGAAATAATTTACAGGGAACTAATCATTACAGGAACAGAGGAATTGGCACCTCAGATCAGATGAGTTGTCCATCTAGTCACTATCCTCCCTATGATAGTGACCTGTACCAGGTGTTCGAGTCACTATCAGGAGCAGGAAACCCTGAATTGGGCAGTTCTCTCTGTTTCACTCTCCAGCCTTGGATGGGAATCTTGTGAAGAATTTCCAAATTTTGTGAATTAATTAAAATAGATTTAACTGTTGAGTTTCCTGTGTGTGATTCATTTGAAGAACATTTCCATCTCAAAAGACAAAGGAGGATGTTGGCTATCACATTCTCCATTCCCAGAAGGAATTCAGCAGTTACAATGTGTTCCATGCTTCAAATCAATAGCTCATAAATGGCTTACCACATTTTTGTAAAATTATTGCTTTTTTCTTTTTAAATGTTATTTTCTAGTCTTTCAGATTATACTTGCCAAGTTTCTCCTGGCTTGTGTGACTAGCTGCCTAAATATATCTCTTTATTTGAGCATGGATTTTTAATGCTGTAATTGTTGAGAAAAGATTTTGAATATTTTCTGTTGGAGTTAGTGGGCATGGCTCAGTATATGATGCTCTTGACAGTAATTATATCTAATGCAAAATTAGGCCACAATCCTGCAAAGATTTGGGCGCCTGAGAATGCTTGCACCATTGGTTGCTTTATTTACTATTCATCACTCATTGTTCTCCTACAGTATTTAAAAATTTCAAATCATCCAGTCAGGTATCAGAAAATATAATATGTGAAGAATCAGACACCACAAATAGTAAGTATCTAATAGTTGAGGTGAACAATTTGTAAACAACACATAACTTGAAAATTATATGTCCAGACTGTTTAGCAAATACTTAAATTTTTGTTCACTCACAGGAATCCTGAATGGTTTGCAGTTCATTCACCAACTGAAAAAAGCCCGTAGTTGTCGCACTTCTGCTCTAAAGAATACTATTTTACCGGCTTTTGTAGTAAATGTTTGTCCAGTAATGCTCCAATTGAAACCAATTGCAAAACTACTATTGATCTTAGTGGGATTAGGATCAGATTCCCAACACTGAGATAACATTTGAAGCTTGAATATCATAAGTTCACACATCCAGTCTCCTGGTGTGTTCAAATAAGCAGTTTGCTTCCTTCAGAGAAAAAAATGCATACAAGCAATTACTATACTCTGGTGCATGATGTGAAGCAGAGTGCAAAAGATAAATTGCAAGGCAGTGAAGTATTGTTTAGTTTCTATGGAATTATCTCTCTGTTCCATTTGCAGCCACTCAATTTTATTTAATTATTCCCTTATTCTTGTGATGTAACCATGAATTAAACTGTATTTATTCATAATTGCAAATAACTGTTAACAAACAAATTTGAAATTTCTTAGATCTTCTACACTAGTCTAGATGCATGGGTATAAGTTAGAGTTGTAGTTCCTCATTGACAGAAGGTGGAGACAGGACATTTGAGATATTTTTTGGGTGATGTCCACTATATGCAGAACCTGCTATAAATCCACTTTGTGGTTGAGCCAAGTCTTCCCCATCTTTATCCCTTTGGTACTGCTGTGGGATTCCTGTGGCAGACAGCCATGCTGGACTAATGGGGTCTGGTATATATGGCACTCTGGGTGCAGCTGTCCACAGCAATGTGCTTCTGCTCTCAAAGCTGGAAGCAGTTTGCTGCCCCTTAGGTCTTCTATGTCACTCAGTCCAGCAGGGTGTCCTTCAGCTGGAAATGAAAGAGAAGGAACTAGTGAGCCCCTTGTATATATAATGGACTGGCCTAGAACATGTTGATTATGTCTCTCTCTCTCTCTCCTATAAAGAAGAGGAGAGGAACCTGTGCGTAAGGCAAAACCTGAAAGAGGAGCAAGTGCAAGTAAGACACTTCATCAGAATTTTGTAATTCCCTGTGGCTGTCTTCCAACTAAAAATTTGTCTTCAGTACCGACCCAAAGGAGTAAAGCTCGAGTACAGAGACAAACATGAGAAGGTACAAAGACCAAAGGGATGTCGGACAAATCAGATAAATACATTTGTCACTGGATACAAATAACCTTTTATGAGATTATCCTGAACATTGATTACAGTTGCAATCACTTTGTAATAATCTCCATAATGACTTGTCACTGGGGAATGAACTTGGAACCTTCAGCCTCAGAAATGTGATCTTTTCCTTTTATTTTGTCGAGGGATACATGGGCTGGTGTAACTTCAGGATGATTGTTTTAAAGAGAAGGTGGTGGTGTCCAGATTGCTGAGCCCTTGTCCCTGGTTATTTTACTGCTTCCAGTCTGGATCTTCAGCCATGATAGGGCCTGGGATTTTTCAGCATGAAAAGTTCAGGCCTATTTCTGAAAAAGCAAGCCTGTGAGGATGTGATGGGTGGCATAACCAAACAGTCTGTCTGCTGGCAGAGCAGAATTCTCTTCAAGCGTCTGTCCTGGGATAGAAGACCTCAGAGGACTCGAAGGACAAATTGTGACCATTGTTTCATGCCTGCATATGAGAGGAAGGGGTTATAAAATGTCCCCTTCTCCCCTACATTTACTACCCATCCTGTGGGTAGCAGTGCATGGGGGAAAGAGCCAGCCACCTCTGTGGGGTTACTAGTTCCAACTTAGGAAGGTCAGCAAGCTAGGGAAGGAGCACATCAGCCAGCACAGATGAGCTGGCACACTAGGAAAGTGACTTGTGCAGATTATTTCCCTTCCAGAGCAGAAGTGGACTGAGGATCAGATTAAAAAACTGATTCCTGGTCAACTCCTGGGGCAGTGTGGGCCCTTGCTCTGCATTTCTGAAAAAGCCCCTGTTTAACCTTAATAGGTAGATGGAAAATTTCTTGATGCTTCTGTGACAATTTGAAGATGATTTTAGAGAATCTTTCTGTGTACAAAAACAACAAGGAGTCCTTGTGGCACCTTAGAGACTAACACATTTATTTGGTTTCAGAGTAGCAGCCGTGTTAGTCTGTATCCGCAAAAAGAAGGACAGGAGTACTTGTGGCACCTTAGAGACTAACAAATTTATTAGAGCATAAGCTTTCGTGGACTACAGCCCACTTCTTCGGATGCATTTATTTGGACATAAGCTTCCATGGGCAATATGTGAATTCTTGTTAATATTATGAAGTTATTATGAAATTGTTGTATCATGGGATTCTGTTATGTGAATATAGAATCCCCATTTGCTGACGGGCTTAGCATATCTCTGCCAAACCAGGGACAGTAGTTAGTTAGAAAAACCTTAAGTGGTTGCCTGTTCAGATGGAAACATCTTTCGATAATGTGTTGGCTGAAACTTGGCGAGGCTAGTCCCTCTAACTTCCCTGCATGGAGGAAGAGTGGAAAATCTGCAGCAGAAGAACAAATAACCAAGGTATTTTTAGGGGATTATATAAACATCATGAGGGTGTTGCCATCCTTTTGAAGAAGGGAGTGGAGCGGTCCCTGCTCGAGTGGAAGTCCATCAGCAGCAGACTTATGAGAGCCAGACTGAAAGGGAAACAAAATACTATCACCCTGATTCAGTGCTATCGTCTGACAGATGACAGTGATGAAGAAGGAAAGGACAAATCTACCTTACGCTACAGGTGGAGCTAGAGAGAGTACTATGCCACGACATAACTATCATCACCTGAATGCCAAGATCAGGAAGGACAACACAGATAACAACAGAGCAATGGGAAGACATGGGTGTGGCACCATGAATAAAAACGGAGAGAGGCTTGTTGATCTATGCAATACAAACGACCTAGTCATCGGTGGAACCCTATTTCAGTATTGTGAAATTCACAAGCAGACATGGTGTTCTCGAAACGGCAGAGATAAGAACAAGATTGACCATATGATGATCAATGGCAAATGGCGACGCTCATTGACAGTTGTGAAAGTGAGAAGGGAAGCAGATGTTGGCAGCGACCACCGCCTTGTGACAGCCTCCATCAAGCTAAATCTGAGAAGTGTGGGTCCACCAAACAAGGGACATAAATGTTATGAAGTTACAAGCTAAAGTCCCCTGAAATACAGAAAGCCTTTGTTCCGCAGTTAAAGAACAGGTTTCAGGCACTTGCAGACCTTTATGAAGAGGGGAATGCAGATCAACAAGAGGTGGGACAAAATAACAACAATCTATAAACAGAGCAATGAATCCTGTTTAGACTACAGGCAGAAGAAAAGAAAGGAGTGGATTATATCCAGCACATGGAACACCATAGAAACCAGGTGAGCCCTGAAGAAAAAAGTTTTAGACACAAAATCCCAGAAGCTAAGGGACAAATATTATGAGCAGAATAGCACGGCACACCAGGAGGTTAAACGCCTTGAGAGAGCAGACAAACAACACTATATTGATAATCTGGCAATACAAGCAGAGGATACAGCTGCCTGTGGTGAACAAGGAACCATCTACAAAATGACACAGCTTATCAGTGGCAAACGGCAGACACCAACAAACACACTCATCAGGGACAAACAAGGCCACCTATTGGCAACAGAAAAAGGACAAGAAATGTGCTGGACAGAGCATTTCAAGGAATTGTTGAACAGGGAATCACCTAAAGAGGAAGCAAACATCCAGGCAGGGCCGACCTTTCCCATACGCAAAGTACGCAGCTGCGTAGGGCACCAGGAAATGTGGGGCACCGAATTTCCTGGTGCCTTGCGCAGCTGCGTGCTGCTCCAGCCCCTGCCCCGCCCCTTCCCCATGGCCCCCGCCCCTGCTCTGCCCCAACCCCGCCTCTTCCCGCCCCTGAGGACTGCAGCAGAGATGGGCCTGCAGTCACCGGCGGCGGAAAGTGCAGCGGCCTGGCCCCGGCCGTGCTGACGTTGAGTGCGTAGGGCCCCAGAATAGCTAGGGACGGCCCTGCATCAAGGAGGCAGAAGAAGATCTTGATATCAACACAGACATCTCAACAAAAGAAGAGATCATCCAAGCCATCAAATCCTTAAAAAATGGGAAAACTCCTGGCAAGGAAAACTTGAATGCATAATTGTTCAAGGTAAATCCTGAGTTAGTAGCATCTATCCTGGCCCCTCTGTTCACATCAGTCTGGGAAAGGGAAAAAGTGCCAGATGCGTGGACCAATGGGGTTATAAATGAAGATACCAAAGAAAGGAGCTCTCAGTGATTTTAATAACTGGTGTGGTATCACACTTTTATCTATGCAAAGCAAGTTATTGTGTAAGATCATAATCCAGTGTATATCAAAGGCAGTTGTTAGCGTTCTCAGAAAAGAGCAAGCCAATTTTCAGAAAGGGCGTGGATGCACAGAGCAGATCTTCACTCTACAAAATATAATAGAACAATGCTTAGAATGGTAGTGGCAATTCAACATAAACTTAATAGATTTTGAGAAGGCTTTTGACAGCATTCACAGGAGCAGCCTATGGCGCATTTTGTGGGCACATGGAATCCCTCTCCATATAATCAACATCATCAAAAGCTTCTATTCCGACTTTACTGCAGTGTTGATCACAGTGAGCTCAGTTGTGAAGTCAAAACAGAAGTACATCAGGGGTGCGTCATGTCTGCAATCCTCTTCAACAGTGCCATCAACTGGGTAATGCAGCGTACAACAGAAGACATGCCAAGAGGTATTAAATGGACACCCTTCTCATACCTTGAAGACCTAGGCTTTGCAGATGATCTCGCTTGCCTATCACATATCCAGCACCATATAGAAGAAAAAACAATCCAACTCAATACGTTCAGCCAGCAAATCGGACTAAAAATCAACTGCAATAAGACAGATATCATGATCCTTAATATTGCTACCATTATCACTATGGATATAGGATCATGTTCTCACCAGTGTAGAAACATTCACATACTTGGGCAGCACCTCTAGTCAGGGTGGTGGAACAAGCCAGGACATCCGGAACAGAATCAATAAAGCTAGGAACACCATCAGGAGCTTAAATACAGTCTGGAAACCATCAATACACAACACCAAAACCAAACTCAAGATTTATCACAGCTGTGTACTTTCAACACTACTTCATAGTGCAGAATGCTGGGGAATGTATGACATGTCCAAACTGTCTTCACTCCATACAACTTGCCTCAAAAACATTTTCCATATCTTTTAGCCCAGAACAAGACCTATTCACACAGTGCAGCCAAGAAAATAAGAGCACAATCATTACCAGGAAGTGTTGGAGATGGACTGGCCATGTACTTTGAATGAAAACTGATTCCATCACCAGAATAGCAATAAAATGGATACCTGAAGGCAAATGAAAACGAGGCCATCTGAAAACAATGTGGCAAAGAGCTGTGAAAGCTGAACTGAAAGACCTGGGGCAGAGCTGGGAAACCACTGAAAGACTTACTAGAACGCGATAGGAGTGGAAAAGCTTCGTCGCTGCCCTAAATGCCAGAGGCGTAATGAGTATAAACCTGGGGGACTTGCAAAGCAAGAAACAGGAAGCTTTTGGCAGGAGTGAACAGGAGACAGACAAGCTTTCATAATAAGGGTCTTTGGTTTAGCTGTGGGACCAACGAAGGTCAGAGAAGGATAGCTGACTTAGAGATGGGGAGAGGCTTCATGATTCTGAAGAGATGCCAGAAGCTGCAGGGAAGAATCTTGACACCCCAGAGCACTCTGCCTAAGCCCAAAGAGCTCTCGAGAGTGGTGAGGAAACGGAAGCAGGGAAACATGTATAATCATGGTTATCATTTTGTCTAGATCTGTGTATTTCTTGTGCTAAGTAAAGAATATTTGTGTTTAGAATTCTGTGCAAAGTCTGTGTCTGTTCTGGTTTCTCTGCCGCATGCTCATGAAGAGTTAAATTGTAGACCTAGAGCACCGACACATCTGGAATTCTGGGAGCAGGTGTGTTTAAGCTATGGGGAGAACCTGAGTTGTCAGTACTACCC